TTCATCTCTCTCTCGTAATAAAGTAGACCAATTCTGCCTAGTCTCATGAATACTTTGCGACGAGACTCACGGTGTGGCTAGGCCTGCCAGTTTGCAGTAAGGGCAACCTACACCGATTGGATTAATGTTTTTCAGCAAGGTTCGAACGGCAAGTGACATGACCATTTTACAAACAGAAAGCTAGCCCCATAGCCATACCCACTAGTAATCGTTTAAGCGAGCCAAAAATTTGAGGCTAATGATTCTTGACAGAGTCGAGGCTTTATTTCGAGTTGGCCTGGCTTAATGTCACAAGAAAGTATTTAGATTGTGCAGTATGTTCAGAAAATGAAAAATTTCAAAATACCGGAAGGGTTCCTAGAACTGCACAAATGCAATTTGTTTTAAAAAGACTGAAATATTAAAAAAAAAACGAACCTTATGCGGTCGAACGCATGAGAGTTGCCCTCTTCTCAACGAAGGCCTTGCTAAATTTAGAGAGGCGAGACGACTTTCCGAATGAGGCCTCAATGCATTCCAGGACCTGAAACAGCAAAATTAAGATAAGAATAGATCAAGAGAAAGGCTGTATTTAAGACACAGGCAAAAAAGAATATCGAACGGATCGTGACCGTGGCATTCGTTAACCGCCCAGTGTGCTTTGGTGTTTCGGTCTACAGCTCGCCACAAACACTTGTACACCGAAGGCTCATCGGTAACCTAAAACTATTTAGGAAACACTGACGTTGATCCAGCAACCAGGACGTGCGGCAAGCAGCACTACTCAAACACTGGCAGAAGTCTGAGGAGTTAACTTTCATTTGTTAAGGCAATACCAAGGGAAACCATGATGGACATGGCAGTTTCGGACCTCTACACGATGCCTGGAGAGAGTGGCCTTTGGCTTTCCGAGAAACGCAACGGTAACAGGCTGCGTTCTTTATGCATTTTTTTTCGTCACAAAACCCGTGCACAAACGCGTACAGCCCCGGATCTTTCGTAAGCGACAGGCACCGCCCAAATCGGCGACGCCTACCTACCCTGTGCACCACGGGCAGGGCGTGTGAACTGAAGGCAAATGTGAGTACGCTCTGGTTTTATTACACGGTCACGTGGTTGAACGCTAAATAGCCGCTAAGCCAACCTACGACTAGGGGGAGAGAGGAGTTGTCCATGCAGGTCAGCAATCGATAAACGGGCTGAAAATCAGGGACTTACATCGTCGGCTTCCTCGATGTCACACAGAAGAGAGATGAGTGTAGGCAGGTCTACATTGTGTCGAGGAAAGACGGAAAGTTGACTTTCGCACCAGTGTGTAAGCTCGGTGCGCGCTGCCGGCTTCAGTGTAATCGCTGAGCCCACTAGTAACTGGGAATTGGCGTTGTTCTTCTGAAATGCAATTTGTTACAGTGTATAGAGGACGTGGGATGATGGTGGATGTGGAAGATAAAGGCAAAATTACACAAGGACACATTGTTGATAAATGGTGCGAAAAACGTAGCTAACGTCAGGGAAAGGCTCATTGGACATGCACAAGGGCTAGAAAATGATCCTACCAATTCTGGCTCCAAAAGTAAAAGACGACTCGGGTGGGAGTTAAATGGGCACACGTATAGGCCAGTGGGATATGCTAACTTTCTGTTGACGGAGTCTGGAGACAGGGCGAAGGCGCCGGGGTTGTTCATTAAAGGTTTAGGAAGCACCGTTAGCCTGTGAAGGCTTTAAACCGGGTGTTAAAAACAAGATAGTAGGCCTATAGTCCATCCTGTAACCTGATTAGACCAGCGAAGGTTACTCTCACCTTTGTAATTTGCTACTGTGTATTTATACGTGTCGTAGTTATTATCGAGACATGTGTAGATGGTCCCAGCACCCAGGACATCAGTAGCAGACACGTTTTCTTTGTGGAATCGGCGAATAGGTTCACAGCAATTGTCATCTAGTGGATTGCTGGCGCAAAACTCTCTCCAGGTCAGACTTTATAAAACCCGTTCTCTTCGCTAGCTGAACCCTACGACGCGATGTGAAATGACGACAAGCTTTTAGATGAGACTTGCGCAACACAATAGCGGTGACTGTGCAGTAGCAACAGTAGTGACTGAATGAACTATCGAATTGCAAAAGGAAGCTACTATGCTACAAAGATGACGCACCAACGACCTGAAAATAAAGTGAATATTTGAAAGTCGGTCCTGCCACCAAAGTCGTGGTATTCTCCGGCGGAAAAAAAAATGGTCACAGTTCCGCCTGTCGCCACCACCGAAACGGAATTTGCTTTGAATAGCAGGCAACAACAGGCTTAAAAAGATGGCTGAAAGTCATAATTTTCAACCCCGAAACGAACATATCCCACAACCCGATTGAATGTATATATATAGAATATACCAGATCTCAATCTACAGGACGATTCCGTGGCTCATCGGTTAGGGCGTTGGACGACAACGAATAGTTGTACAACCTTACTAACCGATAATAAATGCTTGTAAGACCCTACCAACGAAGACCATAAGTAGGCCGGAACCGTTGCAATGGGAGTAGAGCAGTTTAACATACGGAAAAGGGCGGCTGCGCTTTGGCAATTAAAAGAAATTTACATGCCTATAGTTATCATTTAGGCGAGCGCGTTTTTTAGAACTGAATTAGACTGTATTGCACGCTTACCTAACGCTAACGTCAACCCTATCCATTGTGTTCGTTAAGGTTAGTATTCGTTGCCCGCTGGACTTCTACGTAACAGATCACGGATTAGGCCATCAGATGTTGCCTCGGAAGAGGTCGGTGTCGCCCATGGTGACTGCCAATAAGCCAGGGGACCACAGAATATGTGTCTACGTCGCGTTCCCACCCGCCCTCACGGCGGCAAAGGTCTGCTACACCAATCT